TTCCTAGGTAGTACGGCACGGGGTCTATAATTATTTTTAGACAGTATTCGATCATTTCCATGGTTTACACCTTGATCGTATCGTTACCCGTCTTCTTCATTGTACAGTTGAATAAAAAGGTGCACATATTGTGTAAACAGTTTGTATTCTCTGCGTTCCGCAGAATTTGCTAAATCTTTCGTCTTTGTCTTCCCCCTGATACTTGATCTGCCGCGCCACTGTGCGAGTGCCCTTCCCCTTTATTTCGTTCTGTCCTTGCCCTCCATCTATTTGTATCTCAAGCATAGAAATAGTTTGGCAAACGAAAACGCCGATACCGTTGGGTAGTTTCACCAATCAGCTGAGCTTTCGTCACTTAATTGTTTGCGAGCATATTTTAACTCGGCGCCAAGTTTCAGATAATTGTCTAGTAAGGCAGGCTGTGGCCTATCCAGTTCGGACAGTTATTTAGTATTTTTACCTTCATTTACGGATGTACAACTCCCTTTTCATGCTTGCCCATATCTGAGTTCTGGGTTTTTGTGACAGTAGCCCTTTAGACTGCTTATCATCCTGTATTTTTCTACTCAGTACCTGTTTGCACGCGACAGTGCACTCTGTGTTCGTCCTTTTCGTCCTGGTAACTGTTGACTGTCATGTGGGAATTTTAACTCGAAGGAGATTTTATGTTGTTATTTTTAGGTTCAAACCTTCCAGCTGTGGGCTTCTAGTGTTCGTAATAGTGAATTGCCGCCAGGAAGGCAGCATATGTTGCTAACCATGGTTAGCATATCCACGTCGGTTGGCTAGCGAAAAGTCACCTTACTCTGCTTACCCTAATGAAAGCTTTGGTTCGGCCAATTTGTGCCGTCTTTCTGCCACACTCGCATCTAACCCACCTTCGATGCGATCTGGACGATTTCTAACTGTCATAGTGCTATAGCTTTTAAACAGCCTCAATAACCCCTCCCCGAGCATATTAAATAGATCCTTTGGCTGTCATGTACCCACGAAGAAGTAATAAAAACAACAGGATAGGGCTGCCACAAGACAGATGGTGCGAAGATACTAGTCTATGAAAAAAGTTGTGCAAACTATAAAAGTCTTGTGTCCCCGTGGGTGAAGAAGATGGCTGTTCACGATCTCAATATAGTCTAATCTGTACATTACGTAATCTGTCGCCAAGAGTCAAACCGTTCTCCACAAGTTTCCCGTCAGTGACCCCGCCATTGGACTGTTAGGGTCCTTGAATGACCGCCTTTAAATGTGATTAAAAGCGGCTTTTAAGCCATAAATTACAGTCAGTCAGATGCACAACTAACGAACCAACCAGAAAGCGAAACCACTTACAATTGTATCACCTCCGTATCCGGTCTTGTCTAACGAGAACGTCATGGTGCCCAGCCGAAAATAGTGGCGGAAGATTTGTAACTGTTCAGTGGGCTGTGTGGTTGGCGTGTCTACTAGCTCAGTTTCTTTCAGAGGTTCGCCACTGACTGCAGTGAGAGGTAGTTAATCACAATACTGTCACCCTTTAACACGAATCGGATTTAAGAAGTCATAATGAACGGCGTTGTAAGTACTAGCATGTTAGTAGGGTTGCTATTATGACGACGTTGAATATCCCATACACAGAGCCAAAACTCCACGAAAACTTGCGCGGGATCAAGGAAATCTCACGTGAACGTCCCTATCACCAAGGTATAGTGGTCCATTACATGAGCTTAGAACCCTCTATAGTTTTGACCAACAGGGTATTGCCTGCATCTCAAAATCACATCCATACTTCACATATTGTCGTGCTTGTCACACCATTCATATCCAGTAGTGTGAGACGATGCCACCGTGTCCGAGAAACAGTTTTTATCTACTAGAACCTACTTTAGTGCATAATTAGTGCGCCGCTTAATAAGTGGGTCAGCTGGTCAGAGCTTAAATGCGTATTGCCTTCTTAAACATCGCACTTGTTTTCTTTAGCACATTTGGGAGTCCAGCACCAACTCACGCAGTTTCTGTCCTTTACTTGAGCGGACAACTTATTTAGGAGTACCCAGAAGATATGAACTTGGTTACTTAGGTAATCCACATAGCATTTCAGAAGCGTTCCCCACTCCAGCGTTACTCAACACGTTTGGACCTCACGCAGTTTTTACGGCTGTCTTCCGCTTCCGTCGGGTAATCGGGATCTACTGGAATACGGGGTTTTATTCAGCCGTTTCCAACTAAGAACCTCGGGCATTTACTGAACGCCATCAGAACCCTTTCAACATTCTAAATGTTCGCAGTCTAGGCCTGGATGTCGTCCTTTTTAATTTTCATGTAGTTTGTGCTCCATTATTCAATAGTGGCAGCTTCAGACCTGCCACCATTTTCTACTTTAAATGTGTTCTATCTGACAGTTTTACTCCTATCACAGCTACTTTGATATCATTTGTAGAAAGAGTCAAAAATGCTGTGTTATGGGATAGTTCGGTTTCTGTCTGATCGAACGCATAAGAGCATATTTCGCGGCGGTCTCTCAATATGTCACTAGAAGTAAGCGTCCGCGATCGGGGTGGAGTTTCCATGTTGTGAACGTGGTTTGTCAACCGAAGTTATAGCACCCTTTATTAGTCCCAGTCATCCAATACCCGGTGCTGTTCCTGGCATGTCGCGTTGCCCTTGACTATGAAGTCCGTCGGAGTTGAATGCGCGATTACATGCACATCTTAGGTTGGGAGAACATACTGTGGGCGGTTCGTGTGCAAGCTTTTATTTCCTAGCCCTTTCCGTCGGGAACACAGAAAATGAACAGAACAATGGGAATCTGGCTTTGGCTGCTTCCCGTCCCCCTACTTGTGGATGCACTAGAGCCGCCTAGAACCGACGATAAAAAAACCGTATATGATATTTTTACCAGAATTGACGCCGGAGTATTTTCGCGTATCGCCTTAACACCCTTTTCAGGGGTAAACGCAGAAATGACAGACCTCCCTGCCATATGTTTTGAACCATTCTGTTTGTCCGGTTAGCTCCGTGACATTTATACCAGCTTTTTCCTCTGTGTTGCAGGCGAAGACGACGATTTCAAGTCACGTCAGCCACTATGCCCAGTTTAAATTCGAATCGACCTGATTCTAGCAAGCTATTGGTAGTGCGACGGGGAGATATACCGATGTTAATGATTCTCGAATCCTGGAGCCTGTTTCTCGCCAGACACAATCAAACCTACATTTCGGCTACAATGACGCGCTGGCAGTCAAGGCCTGAAATTTTGCTGGCTGGTAGAACAACTAGGTCCCATTGTCTACTGAGGTTCAATCTGTAACGGCTCCTTATTGTGGGGCCCGAGACGTCGCCATCTTATGTGGCCCGATGCATGTGAAACTAGGGGTCCGGTCGTGTGTGGCACGCGCAGACGGGCCGTTTAACCTTGTCACTTGGTGCCCCTCGCCCGCCTCCGATTAGAACGCGGTTGGTGCAAGAGTTAATGACGTAGACGAAGCTTGGCCCTGCTTTACTACAAGCGCCTTCGGAAGACGATTTGGCGAGTACACGTTTGCTTTCAACAACTTCCTGTCATACGAGCCAAATCTTCATAGGGGTGGTCTGAGCTGACAATCTATCCTTGCCTTCCTCGTGTACAATGAGGTTGATCGAGACCAATGCCCCGACCTTAGCCACTGACAATGGTCTGGGCGTCTCCTTAGGAGTTCAGGCATCACGTCTTATTTGCAGGCTCCCATGAAGCAGGCTACACTGGTCGTACTAGTCGGCGACCATCTAAAAGGGTACAGGAGCACATCCCAGCGTGAATAAGAAAGGGCGAAACCAGAAACACAAACAGCGTCATCCTCGCACATCTCGTTGATTTTGACAATTTCCTGGACTGGAGCAGAACGAAGTCTTTTGGGTAATTTAAATGGTGCCATCGAACTACCCAAAACCACTGAGCCATTGCCGGGTTACGCAAGCCAGCTTTGTTCGCGCAGAAGAACTTCGTGCTGGCCCCACAGTTTCCACTGCCGAAAGTCAGTTGACTTGCTAACCTATGCAATTTTTCGGCCCACCACTCACATTGCGCATTCTTAACTCGACGAGGTGATAATGAATGTCTCCGCTTATCCTTCCCTATTCCCCACCATCCACCAGCGCGAAGCGACGGCTGAAACTCAGCTTCTCTAAGTACCCGCTTGTTTCGCTTAAGCCAGCAACCATATAAATACATAGGCCAGACGAAAATTTATCAACAGAAAACCTGACCGTGCCAAATCACTTTCTATATGTTTGTTATTAATTTCCACAACTATAATGTAAACGGACTCACGCACTAGTCACTGCCAATAATGGTGTACCTCGTCATCAGTGACGGTCGGACTGTCACGATAGCCATGTAGATGTCCATAGGGGCCTCGTATCTTCTGTCCGTTTCACACTTGCAGCCCCATTATTTCCTCTGGGTATACTCTAAATTTTCGACTACCACAGTACTCATTGTAGACCTTTGCCCAAGTCCTACGGTGGGAACTGCTATCTTGCCTGTCATGCAAAGTTGGTGAATGCAAAAGGAAATTGACCAGTGATGTATTACTCAAATGGGAAATGCCAGAGATGATGCTGCAACATAACGTTCCCATTCCGTATTCACTAGGCTGTTTTGAATCAGCATGTCGGATAATCCCCACCTTCACAGCTGCAGCAAGTCACTTGCCTTATTTCGATTAACCCTAGAGCGCGACTCTCCTTTATCCAACTTTATTTACTCGCCCGTCGTCCAGGTTCTTTCGATGGAGCTCAGTTCGATAAAAATAAGGCCTGTCATGGGAAGCGGTCGTCGGGCGTGCGTAGGATGATGTCTGGCCAGCAGAAACCAGCTGTTCAATACAACTAATACGAAACATGCCTGACACACGTTATAGGTTTTGATAGCCATTATAACTTTGTGAAGCATCGCCTGGTTTGCTCAATGTCTAGGCTAGTTGAGGGATTTTTTGTACGCTTCGCAGCGTGTTTCATTTCCTTTTCTCTTCAACTCTTTAGAGATGGAGGAAATTGGTCTGTCACCAGCCCCTCAGGAGCAGGTTAGTAGCAGTTTTATTCGTCACTTAGTCCTCCGTTAGGTGGATGGAGAACTCGCAGAAGTCGGTCCTGTTGCAGCGGTTCCGGGCGACCCCTTCCGCATAAACGATGATGACTTGTATCTGAAGCTGAAGGTATGCATGCTGCCTCGTTGTCCTTTTAATCATTTTCCCTTTTAGTCCCTTAAAAAGCAGTTGGAGTTTATTGAAGTACAAGAGGAATACATCAAGGACGAACAGAAGAACCTTAAAAAAGAGTACCTCCATGCACAGGAGGAGGTGAAGCGTATCAAAAGCGTTCCCCTTGTCATTGGTCAGTTTTTGGAGGCCGTTGACCAAGGCACGGGCATTGTCGGCTCAACCACCGGATCTAATTACTATGTCAGAATTCTGTCCACCATTGACAGGGAGCTTTTAAAGCCCAGCGCGAGCGTTGCTCTGCACAAACATAGCAATGCCCTAGTAGATGTTCTTCCACCCGAAGCTGACAGCAGTATAACTATGCTTCAAGCCGGTACGCATAACTGGTGTTTTTTTTATTACTTCAATGCTTAAACGCTGTCGATGTCAGACAATTTTATTCAATGTGCTCTGCAGAAGTTTGCTTCGGTAATTTCCTTCCACAACCGGGAGTTTAACTGGGACCTCAAATCATCCGGGGCGTTGATCTGGCTCTACGTGTTGATAAGCTCTCTTTAAGTTACAAACTCTTTCTAAACCGAGATTCTGTTCCAGAGCAGAGACAAAGTTGTCAGTCAGTTTCACGTCACCTTGTTTGTGCGTGTCCGACTCTCAATCAATCAATCACCGCTCACCCAAATCTCTTCAGGCAGAAGGGCACATAAAGTAGGTCATACAACTAACAGTCTGGGCTGTACTACTTCGGAGATAGAACACTCGGCTTGGATTTGAGCCGTTAATGGTTCCGTTTTCTGGTTGTGTGCATTCCTTATTCTTTCATAGTCTGTTTTGAGTGCATTATCGATGTTTACTTCATTTCTTTTACTCTCTGGGCGACAGTCAACGGGTAACATTTTCAGTTGTTCATGACCTTGATACTTTTCCCTGCCTAACTAGCTGGCTCTGAAATTTAAACTGTACCCGAGACCTGTCTCACCACAAACCAACTGGGTTTTCTCGCAGATGAGCCGTTCGATTTGCGACGTAAAGTAAATAGTAGCCGCTAACCTATGGCTCATGAAGTGATTACTATTCCCAGTCTGTCTGTAAAGGGGAATCTCTTCTGTCCTCCAAGAAAAATAACGATTGAATTGCTTGGTAGGGTACGGGAATGTCAACCCCCTGTATCATAGGTGGCCTTGCGCTAAATTGTAAGGGAGTAAGGGTTAGAATTAAGTACCCCCTAGAATTCGGCGCAAGATCACTTGTAGTACACGGGGTCCATATTCCCGCGTTCGACCAAATCGTTTTCTTCAACTTTATGAAAACCCCTCATCTATTCTACAAACAGCGCCTCCAATTGTCCTTATTCCTGACCTACTCCCCCCATGTGAATACTTTAAATCATAGATGAGAAGCCAGACGTTTCCTATGCCGATATTGGGGGTATGGACATCCAGAAACAGGAGGTACGAGAGGCAGTTGAACTTCCCCTCACACACTTCGAATTATACAAACAAATCGGCATTGATCCTCCTCGCGGCGTCCTAATGTTTGGTCCACCCGGGTGCGGCAAAACAATGCTTGCGAAAGCAGTGGCCCACCACACAACCGCCGCCTTCATTCGTGTGGTTGGGTCAGAGTTTGTGCAGAAGTACCTTGGCGAGGGTCCCAGGATGGTCCGCGACGTCTTCCGCCTTGCCAAAGAAAATGCCCCTGCTATCATTTTCATCGACGAAATTGATGCCATCGCCACCAAGAGGTTCGATGCACAGACCGGAGGTAGGTCCTTACTTCATCTTTGGTATAAATTACCGGATTGCATGTGAACTGTCTTCCAAAAGCAGATACAGCGTCACGAAGTCCTCGGTTAAACTTTGCTTCATTGCGACCTACTTAAGTGGACCTAGTAACTAGTTATTATTCAGATGACTTGACCACCTACTCCATCGACTTGCATTGCTAGTCCACCTTATAATAGGTGCATGTCTTCTCCCAGCCGTTCCTAATTGGACACCGGAGGAGAGAATTTCATCAACGTCTATTTCCTCATTTTTCCTCCAACATTTGACCGTCCTAATTAAACCCCTGTAAATCTTACTTTAGAACTGCGGCCTATGTCAGCTATTGCTCAGTTGTTTCAGGCCACATAAAAATATTTAGGGTGCGGGGATCCAAGGATAAACCCGTAGTAATTTAGGCCTAACTCATAAACCTGATATTGCGCAATTATCAATGATACCCGGTTCATTTTTTGCGCAAAAACAGCCCAAGCAGTGTCCATTTTGCACGAGAATGCCAGAACTCGATAACTCGTGGCCAAAAAGTTGATCTATGCTTTTTGGTAGGAATATATAGCAGTTGCTTAGGCACTTCCAAGAGCTCAAAGGTAGGTCTCGGGACAAGAAATGTGCCTTGATCTCTGAAACCCCTTCTCACAATCTTTGCTACACTACCACCTTTAATAATAATAATAATAATCATCATCATCATAATCTATCTCGGAAGTTGCCATCCACTTGCAAATTATAAGCAGCGCAAATTGTACAAAATATTGTTTCTTGTCTTACTAAATCTTCTGCACGATTGGGAGGCATATTTTAGGTCCTTCTGTGAAATCCCGATTTTTTGGAAACTGACCGTCCTGCAGCAAATGAGGCCATGAACTTGTTAGTTCCTTTCGTATTGATTTTTTAGCTGTTAATGTATAACATCGGTCCGGTCTAAATGTCATCTCCAAATACGCATGAGGTTCCAGGGAAGTTTGTGCTCAAACCCTAAGACACACCCTTGCCTTTTCAGCCGATCGTGAAGTTCAGCGTATTCTCCTGGAGTTGCTGAATCAAATGGACGGCTTTGACCAAACTGTCAATGTCAAGGTCAGCTTCCTTTCCCCTTCATGCCTGACGACCCGTCATGCTTTTCTTGCTTGGTGCGTCTACAAATACGGCACTTTCTCACGCTTACTACCGACTAGGGGACTCTTTAATCTTAGCGTAGCATTCCACTGGATACTTAGCCCAACAACTGTGCTTGTCTGCCTGCGCCACTAGAATTGCCCTCCTCGTGCTCGTCACGTGACCTTTGTGGATCTTGCCTTGTGGGCAGGATTGGGGACATCATGATGACGTAGCACAATAAAAACTCACCCTAGTGTATGTCTGCCATCTCGCAAATTTTTTTAACGTCATGCCCAAAAGCACCCCTTGATTATGATCGCCGTCCGCCGCCCGTTAATTGTCACTTTCATCTAAGCCTTTAGCAAACCTGACTTCCAGGTCCCACATAAATTCCCGATGCGGATTCTTAGAATTAAAAAATTCAGCATTGCGTTGACTTGTCCCGATATTCCACAATTGCTGACTTTCATGACACCTTCGACTAGGAGGGTTTTTACCCTGTACTCATCATCCAGTTGCCTTCACAGTTGCGCCTGACCAATGAAAGCCAGACAATGACCGAAAATTTCGGTTGGATGAATCCACCTGTTGTCTCCTAGTGTCCTAACCAATTCCGATGCCGGCCAGCTTACATCTCTCCACTGCTGACAGAGTCAAGAACCCCGGAGGCGGTATCAGGCGCAATGGCTCACAAGGATATACAGCCCGTCTACGCGTGCAACACACGAGCTGGTTTGCGCGCGATGGGCGATGGTTTTTGCGCAGACAACATCGGGGGGAGGGCGGTGGCTCAGATCTCAACTGAGTGAGAGTGCTGTTGACGCAACACTAAGGGGGAATAGGTTATCGCGTAGGTTGGCGGTCTTTCTGGCCACGGCTTTTAACGCTCCGTGATAATTTGAAAGTGCGTCAGATTATTTATAGTGAGGAGTATACTCTGAGAGCGTGAGGAAGCAGTCCACAGAGTCGACTCCATTCCTCCTTCCATTCTCCTCGGCATCAGTCCACCGTTAGAGCGATTTGGTTGTCTCATGTGGGGATTGGGCAAGCTAAACAGCTTGTTTGCAGGACTTGTCCACCACGTATCACATCAGGTTTTTACACAACAGGAAATGACATCAAAGAGCATAATCGGTGTGTTATTGGCCGTCAGGTTGTACTCGCTCCGAGTTGATGTACTTGTAATTGTCTCAGCTACTAAGGGGCAGTTAATTTGCGCCTTTTGACCTCGGCGTTTCCTGAAAAAGTCTGCGTTACATTGACGTTCTCCAGCACTGGATCGTGACGTGCCTCCTTATCACTGTGATCTGGCCCTTAATAACGATCGGTTTGGACTGAACGCATAACCCCTCATTGTCCGGTTTATACATTGTCCACTCCTGCATGCTAAACGGTTGACCCACGAGGCCGAAGAACGGGGCGAAATCACTTAGAGGGGGATTGGCGGCTGTACCGATTGCCTGGCTGAAAGCAGTGTTTTTTCTCCTCTTACCGTACCAAGCACCCAAATCTCCTCCTCGGATTTAAAACTATGTTTATTTCGTTGTGCATACCGATTACTGCCTGCAAATCCCACCAAGATAACTCGATTATCTTTCAAATGCCGGTGATATGACCTGTGACGTCCGGATCGGCTGTGGGAGGTTGGCCAACCTTGTCATGGTAAGCGTCTGCAGGAGCTTCGTGTCGGGCTAACCGCTGCGTCCGAATTAATTTCCGTTTCAACACGAGGAGGTTATGAGCTAGAGGTGAGGTGAGTGCCTAGAAATTCACCAGGACTTCCCGGAGGTAGTGGTGTTCATCCCCGAGTTCGACGGACGGACGACCACCAACAAGACCAGCGTGCCTCTAAATTCCTCTATCTGCATTCGACTTCTTGCCTATCAAAGACTTCCCCGACTCAGGGACATTCACCATCAACTGATTCCTCGCTTGCTCGCCCGTGACTGGACATAGCTGATTAAGAGGGCGTTTATTTATGCTGAGGCAGGGTTTCGGTCCTGGCATGTGGAGACCCCTTTCTTCCACTTACTGCTTTTGCCTGATCAGGAATGCGCGAATTTAGCATCGTTAGTTCGCGCATCTCCCCTTTCCCCACCTATTGTTGCATTGCAAGCTCGTGTGGATCAGTTTAATGCACCTTTTAGGTTGATGTGTCTCTATCTTGTCACAGCTTTGTTGGCTTTTTGGGATAAACATTCGCCAGGCTTAATGTTTCTCTTTATGGTCCACAAAAAGAGACGAAAATTCGTTGCTTTCTTAGGAGGCAATATCCGTTTAGACTTTTGTTTCCTCAGTAAAATAAGTCCGACTACCCAAGTCAATTTTTTATTAAAATCTGTCGTACAGGCTAGGCCAGTCTCTATTTCTCAGCTGCGCGGTATCATCTCTGTTAACGGCGATGCTGATTCATTCATCCAGCTTCTAAACCTTCATGATTAACGCCTTTTTATTGGCCTATATGAAAACGGACCTCAGGAAACGTCAAGAGATCTCCCATTTCTGTCTGCGCCTAAACAACCAGCCCAACGGAGTATAGAATGTTCAAGATTTGTGCCGAACTCACCTGCTCCGTTAGGAACCGACGGAAAGCATATAAGGCCCTAACTACCAGCTACCTCTTATCATCTTAGGTCCAAAATATTTACATTGATTACCGCATTGCGGACACGGTTTCCTTGAGTTTATGAAACCTTTTAAATCCACCTCTTTGGTCGTACGTGCAACTTTATTGGCTTGCACTCACACAAGCTATCGGTATCATCCGTTATCCTGACTCTCGTGGCCTACATGGGCTTCGCGCTGGCTGCCTTAGATTTAAAGCGTCGTAAAGAAAATTTTTTTCGCCTACCTCCACTTTATCTCTGTTTTGGTAGGCCGTCTGCCATTGACCTCATTCCCTGCTGTCTTCGCGAGCTACTGTCCTCTACAACCATCCCTGTTTATTATTAATTGCTCACCTTTTGCTGGTTCGTTAGGTCATCATGGCAACCAATCGAGCAGATACTCTGGATCCAGCTCTCCTCCGTCCCGGTCGCTTGGATCGAAAAATCGAATTTCCCCTTCCGGACCGTCGGCAGAAGAGACTCATCTTCTCTACCATTACCAGTAAAATGAACCTCAGTGAGGAGGTGGACCTTGAGGATTACGTCGCTCGTCCCGACAAAATATCCGGCGCCGATATAAACGCAATCTGCCAAGAGGTGGGCTCATTTCTGTTGAATTATTGACAAATGCAAATCCGCCATATTTCAACAATTGAATTACGATACACAGTGGTCGAAACAAGTCGTCTGTTTTTGATCAGTAGCAGCTCTGCTACGACTTGCGTTGCAGCCGAAAATGTCAATGTATTGTGAATGCTTAGAACATCAGTGCCAAGTTTGCACACATTTCTTTTGTTTTAAACCACATAATAATTTGTCTAGGTGAATACTGTCAATTCGGTTTGCATTTTACGCAGTCCCTCAATGGTGCTACCTCCTGACAAGCGTTTAATTGTCTTATCTTTCGACTTTCAGGCTGGCATGCAGGCTGTCCGCGAAAACCGGTATGTGGTACTGTCCAAGGACTTTGAGAAGGGTTACAAAAATAACATCAAGAAGGGCGATCAGGAGCTTGATTTCTACAAATAAATACGCCCTTTTCTTCTCTTGTGTACACCAGAACATTGCCACTTTAATTTTCAGGGGGCTGACCAGACCTATCCCAAATACATGTTTTCAAACTACGTACTCTGTTGTCCCCAAGGTGCATCTTTGCTTTTCTGTTGGGCTTGTGTGACTCTCGGTGCATTCGCAGTCTCTGGCAGATTAGGAGTTGTGTCTCGTGATGGGCTAGCGTCTGTGGCCGCAAGATTGAAATATGTCCAGGATCCACTTCGAACAGTGGACTTAAGCGGACGTGGTTAGCCATCATCTCCAGCCTAGGCAACCCTTTGCCCAGAAGCCAGGACATCAAGTTAGACATGGTACCCGATGTCATCTTCGTTGCTTTGTTGTGGGACGGGAAATTGCTTTTTACGGTCCTGGGCAAGCCCAGTCAGAGCGCGCGGACCGTATTCGTCCGGTGGTCCAAAAACTCGAGTAGAACGTTGTTCGCTAGACCGCGATAGTCGACTTGGTAGATATGTGGTTTCCAGTAGTTCCCAGACCTGAGGACGGACGTCACAGCCTGGGTAAATGGGCTGGGCTTGATCATGCATATAGGGACATTATAGGGCTCCGCCTACCTTAGTTGGCATGGTTGAGTTTTGGAGCGGGGCGAGTTGAAATTAGCCACCGTGTACTTCAATTGCCAGCGGAACGTGCGAGGCTGGTTTGAAACATGGTCTCAGCACATGCGCCATTGCATGCTGGCTGTTGCCAAGGTCATGCTCAGTCATCCGTGTTCTTCGGTGAAAAATCTTGAGAAGTCTGCAGTTCTATCGGCTTTGGAGATATTGCACAATCGTAGTGCCGGGAAAAAACAATTAATTTTATTCCCTAAGGTCATCCCGCCTCTCTCAAACTCTGCACGTGAGGCTTTGGATAGTTGGCTGCTTCAGGCTGTATACGAACAACGAGACCTAGGTTGAGGATTTTTCATTCATCAGCTATCGTCCACCAGTCACGCCCGGCCCTACATCCGGATAATCTGGGGCTTACTCAGATCTCTTCGTCATTCTACGGTCTACCGCTGAGTCACGGGCCCCTCGCCCTGTCGGCTGCGATCGGGAATGCTACTTAGCTTGTGAAGTCGCTCGCCGATCTACTTACAGTGTGGAAAGTGCTCGCTCTGTTCTGCGTCGGAATTTTGTAATTATCGCTTTTCTTTAAAAGTCGTGGCCCACAAGGCCGCCAGCTTATTGGATAACTGTCGTCGTGCTCAGTACTGTGTGTGCGCATGTGGGACGACTGGTTCGAGGACTGAGAATGAGACCTAATCACCTCAATATGGCCTATATGGCACTCTCACGAGCGTGAGATTTTAACCCCCCCATTCTACGGAAGCCTGGTACATCGTACTGGATCCATGCTGTGCGGGTGTGTGTGTATGTCACACAGACGGGTTGTTTAGTTCTTTGTTATTCACTGCGTTCAAGCCCACCTCCGGTCATCTTGACATAGTCTTGTCATCGGAGTCTGGTTGGTGAGGGAGGAAAGTGTGCGGCAGGTGCTTCGCAAGTGCGCCAAACTACAAGCTAACTCACGCGCGAGTCACCACTGCTGTGCCCACTTCGCGGAGCATGCAGTGGAAGTCGTCACCCACGACGGTCGAACTCTCAGTCGGTCCGGAACCAGATGAAGCAGACGCAGGACACGCCGTGCCTACGCGCAAGGTGACCGACAGAAGCGGTTGATTTTGCGTAGACGGACGCTCCAGGGGAAACGCCAGCGGCCGAAAAGATCGATATAGCTATCCAATCTACATTCAAAATCTGCTCACTAGTCCCACCAACATTTCCAGCTCTGAATCTGCCGCTACAAGGACAAATACCAAAGCTCCCGAGCTGAGGCGACCGTGATACCGGGAAGCATGCTCACGTTTTTGGGGAGAGGCGGATCGGGAAGTTGACGTGCACCTGAGGGATGAGGTTAAAGCAACGTGGATCTCTGGCTTATAATTCTTGACGGCCACGACCGTATATACCACGCAAAAACCATGCATGCTGGTCTCTGAGAACAACTGGCCCCCCCACCCCGCGGTCTACAGTCAGTGATCGATCTCATGGGATGTTAACTGCAATTCTAATGTGTGTTTTCAACAGGGAAGGGCTACTGAAGTGTGGTTGTGGGGTTGATTATCTTTCGGAATAATCCAATGTTAGTTCGGACGCGCAAGGATGTTGGCTTTTGAGTTGACTTCTTTTGGACCGCCAGTGAAAACCGCACTCCGTAGAGAAAGGACCACTTAAGTAGTATGCATCTCCGTAGGTTTTCTATGCCTTTGTAAATTCAGAAATATTTTGCAGAGAAGATTCACAAAAATGTTCTTTCTTGTATTCAGTTGACAGAAAATGGCGTCTTCTAAATTTATACTCAAAGAAGGAATGTATTTCGGTTTTAAACAGTTTCTAATTATGTGATGTTTCAGGACCGTGAAATGTCCACTCGAATCGCATCCTAGATATCTGTTTAATAATGCCCCTCACTAAGTATACAGCATAGTCCACATCCGTTACAAACTTTTATGGGCGCTATGCGGTATCCTTTTAATGGCATACAGGAATTTACGTTTTTCCTTACATGGAGAGTATACAGCTTGTAGACTGAAAAAAGATGAACGCAAACGCAACGGCAGTTTGATTTAAAGATTATTTGCAATTTCAAAACTTTCGGTTCTGAAAGATACCCTTTCTTCGAGTATAAAACCCACAGAAGACGTGCACTGCTGCCAAATTATTGTGCGAAAGAATATTTTATGCGTGTTTTCTACAATATACAGTATGTGGCCTGACTCATTAAACGTGATGACAAAAATTAAGGCGATCAATTTTAGGCGCCTAAAATGTTGCACATTTATTCGTATAGTCCATCCCGGTAAATGTCCCTCTTACATGCAGAATATCTTTACAGATAATTTAATCAGTCAAACTGTTTGCAAATATGGGCGAAAATTTACGTTATCCTGTATTTGAGCAGTTTCCTATGCCAATACGTGTCTTAGACCAAGGTCGCATGAAAAGGTCCTCCACCAAGTACAGTGACTGACCGATCTCATGAAATATTGGCCAGAATTCTGAAATGCGTTTTCGATTAGGAAAAATTACTTAGATGGGATCGTAATACTGATTAACGTGCAACATATTCCCATAATATTTCGGACTCGGCAGGATGTTAGCTTTTGAATGCACTTCTTCTCGATCCCCCTGTAGAAACCGCACTCGTCAAAAATGACTACTCAAGTAGCATGCATTGTTAACATTGATTTTCGATGGTCTTATAAATTCAGATATATTTTATAAAAAAAAAACACGGACAAAACATGTTTGTTTTCACTCGTTTGATAGAGAATCACGCCACCTTTGTATTTCATCCTCGAAGAAGGAATATAATTAGGTTTTAAAAGAGTTTTCGAATCCCTGAATAGTTTGCAGTTTGATCAGCCATTGCATTAAGTTTTAGTGATTTCAGTCTACAAGGTGCATACGTTCCGCGTAAGGAAAATCATGCATTCTCCTATGCCATTAAAGAGATATCATACAGAGTCCATTAAATTTTGTAATGGACGCGGACTATGTTGTACATTTCATGAGAAGCAGTGGTAAACGGATAGATACGATGCTGCATGAATGGACATTGCACGGTCTTACAGAATCTCACAATGAGAAACTTTTTTACAACCTAATTATCTTTCTTTTTCGAGAATAAAATATGTAGATGACGTGATTTTCTATCAAATGAGTGAAAACAAACATGTTTTGTCCGTGTTTTTTTTATAAAATATATCTGAATTTATAAGACCATCGAAAATCAATGTTAACAATGCATGCTACTTGAGTAGTCATTTTTGACGAGTGCGGTTTCTACAGGGGATCGAGAAGAAGTGCATTCAAAAGCTAACATCCTGCCGAGTCCGAAATATTATGGGAATGTGTTGCATATTGATCAGTATTACGATCCCAGCTAAGTAATTTTTCCTAATCGAAAACGCATTTCAGAATTTCGACCAACATTTCATGAGACCGGTTACTCAATGTAGCTGTGTTCATCTTTAGGCATATGGTGTGGTATTTTTCGTATGCTCTGGTTACCATTAATTGGTAATTTAGAAACTGAACGGGCAGTTGTAGCAATATATTCATGTTAATATGGCGGCCCTGTTGTGGATTAATAATCGTAGAAGGGAGTTTTGAAGTAAATGGATGTAACGAAAATGATTTCAATATAAAGAGAAAAGTGATTTCTTCCTATATGTCAGGGGGGTGAAAAGACTGATCAAACGAAAAAATGTGGAGAACGCAAACATCCTCAGTTAAGTACTCTATTAAAGCGCAATTGTGAGAGATAACTTTCTAGACGAATTTTTTCAAATGACCCGGAGCATATTCATCGTCGGCTCCCGTTGTGACGTTCATTTTTCTCGTCGATGAGGTTTCATGTTTGGGTAGATCTGAAACTATAACCCAAACGGCCATCTACATTAGAAAGCAGGCCCAGGCACTCACTACTTCGGAAAATGCCTTCTAGAAATACCTTATTTGGAAGGTTTTAATAAACACAGCACAAAGTCTACTTTTATGGGCAATCGATTGAAATCTCGGAAAATATTCCCCGATATTTCCAGTATGATCTGAAACTCAACGCACTCCAGCACAAGAAAAAAATGCAAAGAAACTGGGCGAAGGGAAATTTCTCTCAGTATGCACAAAATAGTATGTTTGCGATTGCACCTGTCAATGCTATTCAAATTTTCCAGTCAATGAACTACTTATCAACATGCGACTTTGTGAAAAATTGTACTCCTATGATGTCGCTATCGGCGAAATCTAACGAATTCTGGTTTACTTAGTCAACCGAATCTCGAAAATGCAAAAACAGGGAAATTGCGGTAAATTCCCGTGAAACCGTCTTGGAATCTAAACGCAGACTGCAGGCTATTAAGTAAACGCCATTCTTGACATTACAATAATTCCGACAGGACATTTAAGTGC